GATCACGGTCTGATCAGCCAGTTACAAGGATACCGGCACAGATTTGATCACTCCTAGCTTTCCTTCTAATTTCTTGAACACTGATAATGGCATCAAGTTAATGGATGCACCTGAATCGCACAAGGCTTTGTCAAAATTTTCGCTACCCAACGAGTAGGGTATAGTGAAACAGCCAGGATCCCCACACTTCTTAGGAATTTTGTTCTATAAAATGGCACTGCAGTGGGCATTGAGTTTGACCACTTTCGTTTCCTCAAGCTTCCTTTTGCTTGAAAGGATTTCCTTTAGAAATTTTGCATAGGCTTACATCTGTGTGAGCACCTCCGTGAACGGGATGTTCACATACAACTGTTTTAGTATTTCCAAGAATTTTTCAAAGCATTGTCTAATTTCTCCCGCTTCATCTTTTCAGGAAAAGGTAACAATGGCATGTACTTGCTTTTCTCAACTGCGCTGCTCGCATTTTGCTTATCAACCTCCTTGCTGCTAACATTGTCCTTGGGCAGAGATTCACCAATTTTCTATTCTTCAACTATCTTGGTTGAGTTGATCTCCTTTATCATCCCTTGGTTTTGCCTTGGTCTTTGCCAATGTTTTCCCACTCTTGAGATACACGACTTTGATTGTCTCTTTTGGATTCTTTCCAGTGTCTGCCGGCAAAGTCCTTGGCGCCCTTTCTGACAACAATGTTGCAAGCTTCCCCATTTGTCTTTCCAGATTCCTGATGGCTATGTCTTGCTCCCGGATAGTGATCCCTTGAGTCTCAAGTTTCTCATCAGATTTATTTATAAATGCCTTTATTAGATCTACTAAACTTGAGTTGTTAGGCTGTGGAGGTTGGTATGGCTGCCTCTGTTGAGTTTGAAAACCAGGAGGTCCTTGCACTGGTGCTTTGGGATTTTTGCTGTTTCCATGAGTTCAAACTACCAGTTGAAGAACTCCATGAGAACCCTAGATGTCTCTGTCCCATAGAATTGAAATTACCACCTCCTTGGTAGTTGCCTCAACATTGTGGGGAACTTCAACATATGCAACTACCAAGGAGGTGGTAATTTTAATTCTATGGGACAGAGACATCCAGGTTTCTTATGGAGTTCTTCAAATGGTAATTTGAACTCATGGCAGCAGCAAAATCCCAGAGCACTAGTGCAAGGACCTCCTGGTTTCCAAACTCAACAGAGGCAACCATACCAACCTCCATAGCCCAATAATTCAAGTTTAGAAGATCTAATGAAGGCATTTATAAATAAATCCAATGAGAAACTTGAGACTCAAGGGACCACTATCAGGGAGCAAGGCACAACCATCCAGAATCTGGAAAGACAAATGGGGCAATTTGCAACATTATTGTCAGAAAGGTCACCGGGGACTTTGTCGGCAGTCACTAAAAAGAATCCAAAAGAGACAATAAAAGTTGTGTCTCTCAGGAGTGGGAAAACATTAGCAGAGCCCAAGGCATAACCAAGGGATGAGAAGAAAATCAACTCAACCAAAATAGCTGAAGAACAGAAAATTGGAGAATCTCTACCCGAGGAGAATGTTAGCAGCAAGGAGGTTGATAAGCATAAGCCAGAAGGTGATCAGCACAGTTGAGGAAAGCAATCACATGCCATTATTACCTTTTTCTCAAAAGATGAACCGGAAGAAATTAGAAAAATGCTTTGGGAAATTCTTGGAGATGCTGAAATAGTTGTATGTGAACATCCCGTTCACGGAGGTGCTCACACAGATGCCTGCCCATGCAAAATTTCTGAAGGAATTCCTTTCAAGCAAAAGGAAGCTCAAGGAAACAAAAGTGGTCAAACTCAGTGCCATTCTATAGAAAAAAATTCCTAAGAAGTGTGGGGATCCTGGCAGTTTCACTATACCCTGCTCATTGGGTAGCGAAAATTTTGACAAAGCTTTGTGCGATTCAGGTGCATCCATTAACTTAATGCCATTATCGGTGTTCAAGAAATTGGAAGGAGAGCTAGGAGTGATCAAATCTGTGCCGGTATCCTTGCAACTGCCTGATCAGACCACAATCATACCGGAGGGTATAATTGAGGACATTCTGGTAAGGGTAGACAAATTTATTTTGCCAATAGACTTCATTATGGTAGATATGGAAGTGAATAAGGAGGTACCTCTAATCCTGGGGAGACTATTCTTTTACACTGGCCGGCTTATTCTTGATATATATGAGGGGCAACGTATGCTACGAGTGGGAAACGAGAAAGTGGTGTTTCAAATGAATAGAATGATGAAATACCCGTGTGATGAGGCATGTGATGAGGCATCTGCCTATGCTTGTCTCAAACTAGATGTGGCGGGAGAGTTAGCAGAATAACACAAGCTGGATAAGCTGGTAGGTGATTCACTAGAAAGATGCATTATCACTCAAGAAAAGCAGAGGATGAAGATCCTGAGATAAAAAAGGAAGTTGAGGCACTGAAAGATGAGAACCAGGTGGTAGATGAAGAAGAATTCGAGAAATAAAAGAGCAAGCCGAAGTTGGAATTAAAAGTTCTCCCGACACATTTGAAATATGCTTTTTTGGAGACTAACAATTTTCCTGTAATTGTTGTTGCTGATTTGATAGGTGAACAAGAACACATACTTGTGGAGTTACTATGGGAGCATAAAAATGCAATCCGTTGGAGTATAGCCGATATTTAGGGAACCACCCCTGCAATTTGCATGCACAAGATCCTATTAGAAGAAGGGAGTAAACCAGTGGTGCAGCCACAACGAAAATTGAACAAAAATCTTGAGGAAGTGGTGCAAAAAGAGATACTCAAATTGCTGGATGCAGGTATAATAGTTTCCATCTCTGACAGTCAATGGATTAGCCTTGTACAGGTTGTGCCAAAAAAAGGGGGCATGACCGCGATAAAAAATGAGGACAACGAGCTAATTTCTACCAGAACAGTTACTGGGTGGAGGATGTGCTTCTATTACCGGAGATTAAATGATGCAACAAGGAAGGATCACTTCCCTCTTCCTTTCATTGATCAGATGTTAGAGAAGGTGGTGGGGCGTGGATGTTATTGCTTTTTAGATGGATATTCAGGTTACAATCAAATACCCATTGCTCCCGAGGATGTTGAGAAAACTACCTTTACATGCCCGTCCGGAATCTTTGCATACCTGAGAATGCCTTTCGGACTATGTAACACACCAGCTACTTTCCAAAGATGCATGATGTCAATATTTTTAGATTTGAACGGGAAGTGTCTGGAGGTGTTCATGGATGACTTTACTCTATTTGGAGATGACTTTGAAGATTGCTTGAGGAACCTCGAACTTGTTCTGAAACGATGTGAGGACACTCACCTAGTACTTAACTGGGAAAAGTGTCACTTCATGGTTATGGGGGGATAGTCATGGGCCATAAAGTCACAGCTGAAGGTATTGAAGTCGATAGAGCTAAAGTAGATGTGATAGCCAAGCTCCCGTCACCAACCTCAGTGAAGAGCATAAGAAGTTTTTAGGGGCATGCCGGTTTCTATTGAAGGTTCATTAAAATTTTTTACAGGTGACTCCTAACCGGAGTGACCCTTAACTGCATTACTTGCCAAGGATGTGAAATTTGTATTCGATGTGGTATGTCTCAGACCAATCGAACTGATCAAGGAAAATCTAGTGAGTGCCCCCATAATGGTGACTCCTAACCGGAGTGAGCCTTTTGAGATAATGTACGACGCCGGTGATGTGGTAGTAGGAGCAGTGCTGGGGTAGAGAAGAGATAAACTGTTCGACCTATTTACTATGCAAGTCAGACCTTGAATGATGCTCAGGTGAACTATGCTACCACGGAGAAGGAGTTCTTTGCAGTAGTCTTTGCTTTTGACAAGTTCAGATCCTATTTGGTGGGAAGCAAGGTAATAGTGCATACTGATCACTCAACACTGAAATATTTGCTGAGTAAGAGAGAGTCCAAATCGCGTCTGATGCGGTGTGTCTTGTTGTTGGAAGAATTTGATCTAGAAATCAAGGACAGGAAAGGCACAGAAAATCAAGTGGCTGACCACCTATCGCGATTGAAGAAACCACCTGTTGAAGCGGTGGACATTCGGGAAGAGTTCCCATATGAGCAGATTTTTTCCATTGCATTAATCTCCGATAGACCACCATGGTTTGCCGACATAGCCAACTTCTTGGCTAGTGGGTGGCTGCAACACGACTTGACCTCCGATCAGAAAAAGAAGCTGCGAAGTGAGGTAAAATGTTAGTTTTGGAATGACCCTTTCTTGTTTAAGTTGTGTGTAGATGGTTCATTCGAAGATGTGTGCCTAATGGAGAGATGGCAAGCATTCTGTCTCACTACCATGATGGAGTAGCTGAGGACACTATGGTGGAAATCGCACTACAGCAAAGGTCATGAAAGCCGGTTTATTTTGGCCTACTTTGTATGAAGATGCACGAGCTTTTATAGCTACATGTGACAAGTGTCAAAGGGCAAGTAATATTAGTAAGAGGGATGAAATGCCTCTCAACTCCATTATGGTATGTGAAATTTTTGACATTTGGGGCATCGACTTCATGGGTCTGTTCCCATCGTCACATTCTTATGAGTATGTCCTAGTAGCCATTGACTATGTTTCTAAGTGGGTCGAAGCAATCCTACTAGGACCAATGATGCTCGGGTGGTGTGTGAGTTCTTACGGAAGAACATCTTTACCCGCTTTGGGATGCCTGAAGTGATTATCAGTGACAATGGGTCACACTTTGTGAATAATGCAGCTTTGTCCAAGTATTGGGTCACACACCAAACAAAAACCCCGTACCATGTCCAAACTAGTGGGCAAGTTGAAGTGGTTAACCGTAAACTTAAAAGAATTCTTGAAAAGACGGTTAGTGCTTATCGTAAGGATTGGTCTGTAAATTTGGAGGAAGCTCTATGGGCGTAAAGGATTACATTCAAAACAACCATAGGGATTTCACCATTCAAACTAGTGTATGGAAAATCATATCACTTACCTGTTGAGATAGAACATAAAGCCTATTGGGCAATTAAGATGCTTAATCTTGATCTTAGTCTTGCAGGTGAACACAAGTTGGCGCAGATAAATGCATTGGAGGAGTTTAGACTGGACGCGTATGAAAATGCGCGAATTTTCAAGGAAAAGACTAAAAGGTGGCATGATCGCCTGATTAAGCCAAAGGAGTTTCATGAAGGGGACAAATTCTTACTGTACAATAGTAGACTCAGATTGTTCCCCAGAAAAGTTAAGTCTAGATGGACGGGACCCTATGTGGTGAAACATGTATCACCATATGGAGCAATTGAGATACAGAACCAGGACGAAATGGAAAGTTTCAAAGTGAATTGGCATAGGCTAAACCGTATCTTATTGGAGGATTTGCTCAGCAATATTCGAGCATCAAAATCAGTTGAGGATTCCCAGTTGAGTCAAGCTGACGACTATAACTCAGAACTACTTCTAACTCTTCTATTAGTAAGATTTTTCACTTTTGTTTATAGCAGAATAGATAAAAATTAGTGTATATTATGATGTGGTAGGTGATCTCGTCCAAGTTCACACCTCAATTCAAGGTTATGAAACGATCAATTGCAATAGTAATACCCAATAAGGAGTCGGGGTCGAATTCCACAGGGAGCTATACGTGGGATGTAGGAGTATAGATTGCAGTGTTTGAGTATGAACTATCTCAATTTACACTTCCACAAATTGGTGTTTGTTCTACGTCTATTCTAATATAAGATCACAAGATTAAGAAATGAAACTAAGAAATTGTTTTTGTTGTTGTTTTTCAAATGATATAAAAGTCCTAGGGCTATGACCTTCACCTAGGTGTTTGCCTAACGGGTTGTAAACTTTAAAGCTTGTTTTATTGGTCGGGGTGTATTATAGCTATCAACACTTGAGTACCCACTTAATACCTTTTGGTTAGAGTGTGATTTTGCCCAATTTGGCTTTCTCAAGTCCAAATGGGTATTGAACAAAGCGGATGATACAAAGCTAGAGTCGGGTTTTACTATCTCTAGCAGTCAGGAGCCCGCCTGAAGAACAGAGGAATACATTTCAAAGTCAGCAGTCAGGAGCCCGCCTGGAGTACAAGGGAGCACATTTCAAAGTCAGCAGTCAGGAGCCCGCCTGGAGAACAAGGGAATACATTTCAAAGTCAGCAGTCAGGAGCCCGCCTGGAGAACAAGGGAGCACATTTCAAAGTCAGTAGTCAGGAGCCCGCCTGGAGAGCAGGGAATACATTCAAGTTTAGCAGTCATGAGCCCGCCTGGAGAGCAGGGAATACATTTCAAGTCAGCATTCAGGAGCCCGCCTGGAGAGCAGGGAATACATTTCAAGTCAGCAGTCTGGAGCCCGCCTGGAGAGCAGGGAATACATTTCAAGTATAACAATCAGGAGCCCGCCTGGAGAGCATGGGAATACATTTCAAGCCTAGCAATCAGGAGCCCGCCTGGAGAGCATGGGAATATATTTCAAGTTTAGCAGTCAGGAGCCCACCTGAAGAGCATGGGAATACATTTCAAGTTCAGCAGTCAGGAGCCCGCCTGGAGAGCAGGGGAATACAATTCAAGTTCAGCAGTCAGGTGTCCACTTGGAGAAAGGGGCGACATCTCAAAATACAGTTCAACAGTCAGGCGTCCACCTGGAGAAAGGGAAAGCATCTCAGATTACAATTCAAGTCAGCAACAAAAGAAGCTCATGGCAAAAATGAGAGTCAACAGTCCGAGGTGATCAACAGAAGTTAGTCGCAATAAAGAAAAAAGGAGAAGGGCAAGAAGTTATTCCTAATGCAGAAGTTGATGGAAGATGTGGGCTGCTTAAGACATGACTGAAGTCACAAGCATGGTGTGGTGTCCGGGTTTGGTCCAAAAAGCTGAGGAAGAATGAACTAGCACCTGCAACTAGCAAGGTTCAAGGTTCAAATCCAAAGTCTGCATGAAGAACCATTCAAGACTCGAGATCAAGCTTCAGAAGACTTATAGATAGGAATCTTGTAACTCATAGTTGATAGGCTTAGCTAGTTGTTTCATTTCTTTTGATTTTAATGTAATAGCAGGACCGCGGACCGGAACCTCGGCGGAACGGCACCTCGAGTGGCTCTCCACCTCGGCATACTCCATCATCTCACTCACTTATGAACTACACGTGGCCTGATTCCTTTATAGCCAAGGATATGTAGGCAGCTCAGATACCAGGGCTCGGTCACATTCCCCTTTTCTCAGTTTTAGTCTCCCCCAATTAAGGGTCGGGTCAAAAAACCTGTCTAGTCGTTCTTTGTCTGAAAACTCTTCGCGTTTCCAGTCAAAGAGGGGCAGCTGTAGACATGTGATTTTTTACCCTCCCCAAGATTTTTCATATTTTAGCATGTAAATATTTAATGTAGGCCTAATATAGCTATTTCAACTATTTTTGACTTCTTTACTTTATTTTTGTCATAAAAATGGAAAATTACAAAGAAAAAATCTATTAGCTTACGTATCTTTCATAAATTTAAATAAAAAAAATATACAAAAGTAGTACTTTATTTTTATCTTTACATAATCTTGAAAATATAAAATATATAATAGTTTCATGTTAGTTTTTGCATTGTGTAGTATTTTTATCTTATTTTAAAAGGAGTCAATTAAGGTGTTGGATCACAATTTTAAGAGTGTTAGAGCCCAGTTCTTGGCCCAATTCGGATTAGTCCATTAAGCCTAGGGACCTTTCTAGACTTTTCTTTGGAATAAAAACATATAAAAAAGACCCTAAGGACCTAATACACAAAAGACTTAGGGACTAATGAGCAAAAAACACAAAATATAACCCTAGACCCTACACCTACATAAACCTACACCTACACACACAAAAGGGACACTAAAAATAATGCTGAAGGCTGCGCCGCAAGAACAGACCTCATCCCCCTGAGTCATCTCCTTCGTCGAACCTCCTGCGACCACTCCCTGAACCGGACCTAGCCGTTGTTTCTCATCCAGTCGAACGGACCTCGAAACACAACCTAGCAGCCATAGACAAAGAGAAGCTGCTGCTTCTTCTTCACAAAACCAACAGACCCTTCTTCCAAAAACGCACAAACAGAGTCACGCGCATGAACAGATTTCTGAAACATAGAGCTTAACAGAAGTTGAGAATCGTTTTTTTGAGTTTGAATCCGTTGCCAGTCATCGCTTCGAGGTTCGAGTCTGCGAATCCGTGTTCAAGTTTGCTGTTGCCGAGGGTTTCTGTTCGAGACTCTATTTTCCGGCCATGTAACGCATCCGGAGGTTTTGAGATATAGTGGTCAATTTCTGCTTTCTCTTTGTTCTATTGATTCTATTTTATAAGTTGTTTGAGTGGATTTTTGTTGTAATAATCTGTATTATATGGTTGTTGAGTTAGTTGTCTCTTTAGTGAAAATTTGAAGTTCCTCTTGTATGAATTTCCTTTCTTCCTCATTGGATTAATTTATCATTCAAATCGACACTTTCTTTTGGAAATGAGGTTACGCTTCCGAAATATGGGAGTTTGTTTTCTCTATAATCAACTTTGCACAAGAGTTGATGTTCATGCCTGGGTTCCACTAAGAAGAACGTCCAAGGATCCATTGTCGTTATTCTTTTGTTTTCCAGTTTTCATTAATATAGTTTAATTAGTACTAGTATTTTCTTCTTGTTTAATTCTATCTGTAGTCACGTGTAGAAATTTTATTTGAGGAGACTTAATCTTTTTTATTGTTGCTTGAGTATAGTTTAGTTGAAATTATATCGCAATAAGTTTACTGGTTAGACTACTTCGATATCCTGCAGTAGGCTTTTACTATGTGAATGCTTAGGCTTTAAGAGTAATATTTTCTTTTTAATTAATAAAAAAATAGTTATTCATTGGGTACACGTTCGCGTGATACGAGTACAATCTAAAAATGAATATTCATAGTTCACTTAGTTGAATGCTTTTCTTTTAATGAAATCGAGGTGTGCCATACTAGCCAAATTGTACAATTTATGGCCCTCGTAAGAACTTAGAAACCTTTTTGTTAGAATAGGTCGAGGTGCCCGTGTCAAACAAAAGTGACAATTGCATGGCCCCCGTTTAATTAATTTTGTTTTAATCCTTAGAATTCGAGGCGTGCCATTAGCGAACTTTCCATGGCCCTCGCAAAGTTAACAACGCGTAGTTGCTTTTAGGCACGTTATTTAATAATCTACTTTCCTAAACTCGGGTGCACATTTATGTGACCCAAATCCAAATCTCAACGATGTTAAAATATATCGAAAGCCACGGGTGCATTTATGTGACGTGGTTCGAGACATGTTTTAATAACGTTGCAATCTTCTTTAATAAATTATATAAAAGCGGTTAAAAGTTAAAATTTGCACATAGGTCCATAATTGTTTAAAATCAGATAATCAAGCCGAATATAACAGTTGAGAGACCGTGCTAGAACCACGGAACCCGGGAATGCCTAACACCTTCTCCCGGGTTAACAGAATTCCTTACTCGGATTTCTAGTGCGCGGACTGTTAAACAGAGTCATTCTTTTCCTCGATTCAGGATTTTAAACCGGTGACTTGGGACACCATAA